AATGTATTACGAAAGCCTTTGTGCCTACTCTCAGACTGTGTTGCAGTGATTGAAAAAATAGCTTATTTGATATCAAAATACTGTAAATTACATAATAATAATATATAAAATAAAAATAAAATCTGAAAGCATAACAAAATGTGTGCAAGTTGTCTTTTATAGCTTACATTGATAAATTATCTTGAAGTGTTAGTTCTTAAGAGGCAGATGAAAATGATATTTCATGACTTTTCTGATGCTATCGCTTATAGAAATGACCATTTTTACTTCATTATTTATGAAATAAAGCCATGAATGGTAAGGAGAAGCTATTAGGTTGTCAGAAAAGTTACAACTTTTTTTTTTTTTTTTGAGAGGTTTTTGCTATAGGTTACATGCGCTTGCCAGAGAGACAGAGAGACAGAAAGCGAGAAATCACTCCCCAGGGGGGATGGTCACACCGCAATCCCTTCTCCTCCATTCTCCTCTCGGGATCTTTGGCACGCACGCACACGTGCCCAGCGTGAGTTTTAAGCCACCAGGTCCGGGACGCGAACCACAGTCAACTATGTGCGAGTTCAGTGACATAGCCATTACGCTAACTGCTGGTCCCAGTCACAACATATTTTTGCATAGAAAAACATGTCATGACTTTTCCGACAACCCAATAAATAGAACATTATACAGCTGAGAACAAGAAGCATCCCAAAACAGACTATTTGAGTGTCTTATGCAATGAGAAGGTCACAGTAAAATTATACTAAGAGTTCAGCGTGTATGAAATGCATGAACACTGAGCACACAGACTGGGTGACTATAAATTTATCATTAACAAATAGGAGAATCAGAGCACATCTTCAGTAAGGAAAGGATCTAATGGCTGCAAACTCACAGTCCTGGACCCCTAAGACAGACTACTTTTGGTTATGTCACTGCAGCATAAAAGTCAACAGGAAAGCCTGAAATGTAGGTTAAAAATAAAAATGAACAAATACATAAATCAAACATGAAGCAAAGAAGAGTCAAGTCACAAAAGAAGTCTGGAATGGCTCTATTACTGTGGATTAATGAAGTCACTACAGTAGAGAATGCATGGCCCTTTCAGACTTGATAAGCTATTTGGTGTCACTGTGAGAATTATTTAAAAGTCGGACTGAACAATTTGGTGCAGTATCTTTTTTGAAGGCTGTGTCTCTAAAAGTAAAGGGCCTCTATAAAGAGATCCTAGGACTTCTGCCTTCTCACTCTCTTCTTCATATTTGATCTTTGTTCCATTTAAGATAGTTGACAAGTTTCTTAAACATTTCTTCCTCTGGTTTGAATGATATTATGTCACTCTGCTTCTGTGACTATTTTCAACTGTAATTCCCTTTGTTTTTCCTAAATGTTACCTCATACATTCCACAAGCCTCACTTTTTGGCCATCTGCTCAACTGTTCAGATACTTTTTCAGCAGGTAAAAAATTCTGTCATCTTACAATGATGGCACTAAAACCTTTATCTCCAATTCTGATCCTCAATCTAAGCTGCTATGTGATAATTTACTTTAATAAACATTTATCCAGTGCTAATTATGATGTGCTAGACACTCTGCAGAGAGATAACATCATCCCCTTACAAAATATCACCACATGGAGGTGTCCTAACATCATTACAGACTCAAAAGTCTCAAAACATCTTTTCGTAAGCCTTACAGAATACCCCTTTCAGAATGTTTCTTAAAAATATCTTTGCATTTGTTATCATTACAGCTATTAATTAGCTTTGCTGAGATAAAAATGCAACTCTCTTAGTAGATTACAAAACGAAAGCTTATTTCTCATTCACATGACATGTGGCTATGTTCCACGTGTCTCTTCATCTCAGCCCCAAGGCTGAAGGAGCAGCCTGGATCAGAGGTGTGTCATTTGTGTGCCAGAAAAGAATGAAGATGACTTTTACAGCTTCTGCTTGAGTGTGGAAAATATTCCATCTGCCCACAATACATAGCCAAGTCTGAAATCAATAGGATGGGGATGAATCATCCTATTATGAAGAACGAGAGGAGGGATGAATATTTTTGAAAAAAAAATACGTAACCCACTCTTCTACATACTGATATTAATTATTATCCACATTGACCATCGCAAACATGTTCCAACTTTGATCCCTGTAAATCATTCCTTCATTCTGTTAGTAAAAAGTACTGCAGGCCTTCTATGCAACATTCACTGTAATATATTTGAGAGATAATAATTAAAATCTTCACTGTTATTCAGGAGCTCCCAATCAAATGAAAGTTACATAAATAAACAGATGTATCACAGTGTAATACATGCTTCCATAAAAAAGTACTAAGAAGACATGCCTAATACCTGAAGTCTTCCTGAATTTTGCTTTCTATTTAAGAATAGGGAAGGTTAATCTTTGAGTAAAGTCTTGAAGGTTAAGTAGGGATTCAGGCCAATAGGAGGCAGGTCAGAGCGAAGAAGGGCATTCCAGGCAATGTGCACAGCATTGTCAAGAAAACTTTAGGTGAGAGAACACTGTGGGTAAGCACAAGGGCAAATGTTTTATAAGACCAAACCATATTTATATAGCCATTCCAAGAAGTGATGTTAGATCTCAGGAAGTGATATTACATCAGAAGTAACCATTAAACTACAAATGACCTGACATGTCAACATGTTATGTTATTCTATATGCTATGGGAAGAACTGTAGACATGGCAATAAAATAAAAGGATTTATAATGTAATTAAGAGATAGTTAAAAAAGAAAGGGCAAATTATTTGGTAACTAATAGGAGACAGCAGCTTCCTGAAGAATATCCGGAGAAGATATTTAGTATTTAGCATGTGGATCTACATAATTATCCAATTATCTAATGACTTAGTAGCAGAAAAATAAAGTTAAGAGACTAATTAAAAATGGGCAAAAGGAGTGAAAACACACTAACTAGGTACATGAACTTGTGTGCCCCAAATTCCAAGAGAATGGAAGAGAAGAAATTACAGAAGGGCCATCCCCTGCTAGAGAGTGATTTCTTACTTTCCTTCTCTCTCTGTCTCCTTCTGAGAAGCATTCGCATGATATAACAAAACTAAACACACATACACACACACACACGGCAAAACATTTAAACAGACATTTCCCAAAAGAATACACACAAATAGCCAACAGGTGTATAAAAATTGCTCATCATCAGGGAAATGTAAATCAAAACCACTATGAGTTCTTTTCACACAGTTATAATGGCTATTATCAAAAAGACAAACCAAAAAATTGGTGAGAATGCATTAAATGGGAACTCATATATTTTTGGTAGGAATGTAAATTAGTACAGCCATCATGGAAAATAGTATGAAGTTGCCTCAAAAAATTAAAAATAGAACTGTTTGGGCCAGCAGATAGTATAATGTTATGTCACTAGACCCCCATGTTTGAGTACTGGAATCGGTGACTTAAAACTCACCCCGGGTGTGTGTGCATGCATGCCCAAGATCCCAAGAAGATAAAGGAGAAGAGGATTGCAGCATAGCCATTCCTCCTGGAGGGTGACTTCTCACTTTCTGTCTCTCTGTCTCTATCTCTCCAGCAAGCACAAGCACCCTATAGCAAAATCTCTGTCTCAAAAAAAAAAAAAAAAAAAAAAAAAGAACTATCATGTTATCCCAAAATTTCAATACTGGCACTATCCACAAATGAAATACAGTATAGTGAAGATATCCACTCATCTGTGTTCACTGTGGCATTTACTCAAAATAGCCAAGATATGGACTCAATATAAATGTCAATCAATGCATGAATGGATAATGAAAACTTGGTATATTTATACAATAGTATATTAGTCAGCCATTAAAAAAAAATGAATCAACTGTCATTTGTAAGTAACATGGATGAACGTGGAGGACACAATGATAAATTAAATAAGCCAGGGGAAAACATGAATACAACATGATCTCACAAATGGACTCTAAAAAGCTAATGTCATAGAAGTAGAGAGCAGAATAATGGTTTCCAGTGGCTGGGAAAGGTGGTGGGAGGAAGGTTTGGGGAGATGGTTGGTCAATGGGTACAAAGGTACAGTTAGATGGAAGGGATACATTTTAGTGTTTCATTGAACAGCAAGATGACTATTGTTAACAATAATATACTGTGTATCTCATAATATCTAGAAGAGAGGATTTTGAATGTTCTCACTACAAAGAAAATGATAAATGTCTGAGGCGATGATAGATATGCTATTTAATCTAATTTGATCATTGAACATTGTATGCATGTATCAAAATATCACACTATACCCAATAAGTATACAAAATTATCTGTCAACTAAAAATTAAAAGGAAAGAAAGAGGGGCCAGCAGGTGGGCATGGTAATTAAGGTGTTGGACTCCCACATGGCAAACCACAGTTCGAGTCCTGGACCTGGCAGATTGTTTTCTCATTCTCCCTTCCCTTCTTGTGTCTCTAGGGTGAGTGCATGTGCTCTATAGCAAAATAAAACAACAACAATAATTATTATTATAATAAATAAAATTAAATTAATTCTTAAAAAATAATTTTTTAACATCAATAAAACAAAGTTTAAAATTCCAAAGAGATTGCAAAGGAAAGTCCAATGCTTGCTTCTACCAATTTAGCCTGTTTATTTAGGATGTTTACTGATTGTGCTATAGTCTAAGCATTAGTTTAAAATGTTGGTGATCCAAAAATGAGCAAACTTCAGTACCTACTTTCAAACAATTCACCATCTAGAAAGTACAGACAGACATCAATAAGTAAGTGTGTATTAATGTGTACACTGTACATGGCACTTTCAACAAAATTGAAACATCTTATATACTTGGGGTACGAAGAAATGAGTTATGGAAGAATCAATAAAGGTTTTTCAGAAAAGATCTCACACCCAAAATTTAGCACTATTTCAGCCTTACATATATGTCATGTGTAACTTCCTAACTATATATAAACATAACAGAAGTAAGAAAGTTACAGCATTCTGTAAAATTAAATGCTAATATATATAAATTTTATATTTACCTTCACAACTAGTTGGTAATATTTTCTTCCTAAGTAACTTCGCCACCATTTTTGGATGATTACTGCTACTCTGTGTAAATATCTAGGATAAAAAATAGAATTATTAATATGCTTTAATTGAAACTAGAGTTGTCTCTTACATTGTTGCTTAGGTATACTCTCCTACAATTCAAGAGACCATATACAAAACCAAATTCATGTGTACTTTTAAAGAATAGAATAGATCATTTCTAAAAGCAGAAAAAAAGTCATACTCATTGTTTCTTTTTGACTTCTAATAGACAATATTTTAATCTCAATTACTCTATTTTTTGATTGTTAAGACTATAAAACAGGTCATAGTAATATGTTAAGAAATAAGCCAGGTACTATTGATGCAAATCATTACAGGTACTTGGATATAATTCATGAGAAAACAAAACATTTCTCCTCTTCATTCTGCTCTTACATTCTTCAGTCCAAGTCAACATCACATTAGTCTGTTAAATTAAAAATAGTCTACTTGCTACCATGTTCTTATTGTGCTGTGGCCAAAAGCAAAGCCTTTTTTTTACACTTTAAATTTGTATGTTTGGCTCCAACTATCAGATAGTATAAGGAAGTAATACATAGCATAATCCCCAATCTGCTATCCGAGTTATTGCAGATTAGACATATTTTTTTCTCTACTTTATGCGGGATGATATTTTTTTCAGAATTGAAGGGAGACTGAGAGAATAGTTGGGCACCAAAGAAAAAGTGAGAAGAGTTAGGAGTGGGATCCATTCAGTCTCTGTATAATCAAAATGACATCATTTCAGCATCATTTGCTTAGATCTACCAACATGTTCGAGACGATTAGAAGAGTTTTCTTTGTTTTTTCTTTTTCCTGTTTTAGTAATCATTTCTATGAATATGAATCCTGTTGTTTGTTACTTTCTATGGAATTTGGGGAAAGAATCTGATCAAGTATGTTTATAATGAGAATTTTTTGAAGTAAAGATATAGTGAATAGAATTTAAATGTGGGGTAAGAAAAGATCAAAATTACTATATATTTATATGTTGTTCTATGAGAGATAAATGGAGGACATAAGGAAGAGGGAAGACTTTTTGTTTTGTTTTAGTTTTTGCCATAGGGCACATGTGCCTCTCAGAGAGAGAGACAGAGTACTGGAAAGTGAGAAATCACTCCCCAGGAGGGATAGCCACACTGCAATCTCTCTCTCCATTCTTCTCTTTGAATTTTGGGCATGCATACACATGCTTTTCTCAAGCTGCCAGGTCTGGGACTCAAACTGCAAAGTTGGCTATGTGGAATCAAGTTGCCTTAACCACCATACCACCTGGCTGGCCAAAGATAGGTATTTTTGATGGGGTCTGAACATGGTGCCATCCTCCTGCCCTAACTTCCCAGTTAGCTAAGATTATAGCTGTGTGCCACCATGTTGCCTGTTTAGGTTGGCTTAGGAACCAAACTCTGGCTTCCCATGCCGCTCTAGCCTGTACCTCCATGTCTGGGCCTATGTATTTCTTTTATAAAGACATTATACAATTCATTAGTTTAATTATGACAAAAATAAAAGATTTAAAAATGAATGCTACAAGAAAAAATTACATTTCTAAGGAATATATTTTTACGATATACTTGAGATTACCTTGATAAAATCAATATACCTGATATATGCCCGAACTTGACATCCTCGAAACCAGCTCTGTATTTTAACTGATGCATCATTCTCCTTTTTCCTAAATGCATTCACAGTACTAAAAAAAATATGTATAAAAAGCATTTCATTAGTAACTAATATAATTCCAAAGCAAGTTAACCTGTTAATCATAATCTTTAATTTCTTCTAAAATGTTAATTATAATTCTAAGGTCATTTTACATCAAGTTAAAATAATAAAGAAAGCATTTCAAAAATCATGAACTGCTTTGAAAATTAACCTTTCCCTTAGAGGCCATGAGCTTTCAACAGCTTTATTCAAAAATTTTTTATAGTCACTGATTATGCAACTAATTAATTTGTTGTTAATTTTTATTTGGGAATTAAAAAAGCAATGTGTTATTTGTCATTACTTGAAAAACATAGTTATTTAAACTGTTTAAATGCCAGGGTACATATATAATGTAAGACTAAAATGCTTGCATATTTCATTCATTCATCAGTAAAATGAATTGCCTCTCTGTAAAAGAAATGTTTCACAGGATGCTTATTTCAGCTAGGATTCTAAGTCCATTTAAGTTAAAGGGGGAGGGGCGAGACAGGGCCAGGGAGCTTACAAAGTGATTAAAATTTCAATTTGCAGATTTTACTAATTTATAGCAAGAAAAGGTTTAGTCAGGACAGATCACTATCTAAATTTTATCAGTCATTACTAGTCTTTCTCTCCATTTCTAATTAATAAAGTGATATTTCTTAGGACAACTACAGTAGAAAATAGAGTAATTTATCTCCTAGAAGGCTTGTTGGCATGTATCTAGCACTTTATGTTTGCTGAGTAAGTAAAGAATGGCTAATATAGCTAGTCATTTTATTTCTTACTTAAAAAAAAATTCCCTCAGGATTGTGTTTTCTTGGACAGGTTATTTTTGGTTTTCATGATGTTAGATTAAATATATATTTTATATAAGTTTATGCGTGTGTGTGTGTGTGTGTGTATATATATATATACACATATATATATAAAACAAAAAAATGAGAAAAATATTTTACATAATAGAATTTCTGGATAATAGTATAATGATGGCTGAGAAAAAGAAAATAGGATTATTAACTAAATTGCAGAAACAGACAAACAAGTGAATGGATTCCTGTTGGAAATTAAGGGGAACAATAGTTACCTAGAAAGACTGTCTAAGAAGGACCTACAAAAGCAAAGAGAGGAATAAAAATTTATGCATCAAAGTTAGTGATCTGTATGTGAAATCCAGTAAAGACAGAATTCACATTAATCTTTAAGATTACATAAAGTGCAGAGACCAGCAGTTAGCGTAATGGCTATGTCGCTGGACTCCCATGTAGGTGAACGCAGTTCAAGTCCCAGACCCAGTGGCTGAAACTCACGCTAGGCATGTGTGTGTGCGTGCCTAAGATCCCGAGAGGAGAATGGAGGAGAAGGTATTGTGGCGTGGCCATTCCCCTTGGGGGGTGATTTCTCACTTTCTGTCTCTCTGTCGGCCTGGCAAGTGCTTGCGCCCTATAGCAAAAAACCTCTCCAAAAAAAAAAAAAAAGATTACATAAAGTGCAGTTCAAACACAGCATAAACTAGAAAAGCTATACATAAGAATATAGTTGCATTACTGATAGGTAAATACCATGGTAAGATTATGAAATTATGAATTAAATCTTGCTGGAAATAAGTAAGACAACTAGGAGTGGAAGGAAAGAAAGGTTGATTACTGTTGGATGTTTGTATTGCATCTATTAAATGACAGAAAGACTTGTACAAAATCGGACCAGCAGATGGCATAATGTTTACATTGCTGGACTCCCATGTAGTTGACCACAGTTCAAGTACCAGACCAAGCAGCTTAAATGCATACTAGGTGTGTGTGTGTGAGCCAAAATCCTGAGATGCAAATGGAGGAGAAGGAATTGTAGTATGGCCATTCCTCCCATGGGGGTGTGATTTCTCACTTTCTGTTTCTTTGTCTCTCTCTGTCTCTCCAGTGAACCATGCACCCTATAACAAAAATCTCTCCCTAAAAAAAAAAAAAAAAAAAAAAAGGAGAGTTTTATAAAATGTACTCTTGTATCATATTACTATACTCCATGTGGAAGGAAAATAGCTTAAAGTTCTTTCCTACACAGAATCTTTATGAGTTTCTAGATTACACTTGGGCCTTTTTATTTTATACCCTCACAGGTACTTCAAAAAGTTCCTAGAAAGAACTTGAAGTACAAGTTTATTTTGGCAGGAAAAAAACTTTTAAAGTACATACATACTTTTTTTCATAATATGCATTTTGAAATTCAGATGTGAGAATTTCAGATGTGAAAGATTGTTTTTAGAAAAGAGTAGGAGAGGGACTGGCAGATGGTGTGATGGTTAAGGGTGCTGGATTCCCACATGGTTGACTGCAGTTCAAGTCCCAGACCTGGCAGCTTGCTTTCTCACTTTCTTGCTCTCTCTCTCCTTCTTTGGTCAAAAATGTAAATAAATAAATAAATAAAGTTAAATAGAATAATTCTTTAAACAAAAAGAGTAGGGGAACATAAGTGTCAACGGAAGAATTTGAGTAGGTTCTCAAAGAAGAGCAGCTCTCATGATCAGTATATTTAAAATATATTTAATCTCTTTCCTCAGACATTCCTCAGGTACCTCAAGTTCAACATGTACAAAAGAATGCACCTCATCCCTCTTCCACAAAGGCTTACACCTAGTTCTGAGAAAAGCTGTTTGTTATCTTCCTTCCCTTTCTCATGAATGTCAACAATGTCTGCTCAATCGCTCACATCAGAAAAGATGATGCAATTGCAGTAATTCTCTGCATTTCTTCAGCCTTCATCTTTTTTTCACAGATTATTATTATTATTATCACTATTATTTACTCTCATTATTTTTTTAAACATTCAATCACTATACACAATTTGGCTTGTAAAATGAATTTACCCAACATGAAATACTTCTCTTACCAGTCCAGTTGAGAATACTATACATGTTATCAACAATAGGTAATAAACCATTTCTGTATCCCATGCCTCTCTACTTGTTCTCTAGCTATCTATCTCTATACTCTTCCCTTTCCCCACCCCCATTCCACACTGTCTTCAGCACTTATAACTATTTTCAATGCTTTTATCCCCTCTAATATTTTTATCTCTACCATAAAGTGCAGATAGTTGGTATATATTAAGTTATCCTGGTTTGCTTCACTCAGCAATAGATCTTCCATATTCAATCCCTTTCTATCAACAGCAAGGATTTTTTTTGGGGGGGGGCTGAATAGTATTCCGTGGAGTATATGTGCCACACTTTTTCCATCCACTCATCTGTTTGTGGACGTTTGGATTGGTTCCAGGTCTTAGCAATATGAATAATGCTGCTGCAATAAACATTGATGTGCAAGTGCTTTTCCAACTGAGCATTCGCCTGTCCTTTGGGTAGATACCCAGAAGTGGGATTGCTGAATCAAATGGTAGTTTAATTTCTAGGTCTTTGAGGAACCTCCATATTGTTTTCCAAAGTGGCTGAACCACTTTACATTCCCATCAACAGTTATCATTTTTTGTATTTTTAACCTTCGCCATTCTGACACGGGTTAGGTAGTAACTCATTGTGGTTTTAATCTGCATCTCCCTTATGATGAGGGATGTTGAGCATTTCCTCATATGCTTTTTGGCTGTTTGTATGTATTCCTTAGAGAGATTTTTGTTCAGCTCATTTTCCCAACTTTTAATTGGGTTAATCTTTTTTTTTTTTTTTTTCAGGTAAGCCACTTGAGTTCCCTGTGTATTGTGGCTTTTAACCCCTTATCTGAGGCATATTTTACAAAAATATTCCATCATTCTGAGGGTTGTCAATTCACACTAATTACTGTGTCCTTTGCTGTGCAAAAACTTCTTAATCTGATATAATCCAACTTGTCTATTTTAGGGATTATTGCCCATGCTTTGGGAGTCTTATTTAAGAAGTCTTTACCTACTCCAAGGTCTCCCAGAGTTTCCCCAGTGTTTTCCACCAGTAGTTCTATAGTTTGGGGTCTTAGGTTCAGATCTTTGATCCATTTTGAGTTGATTTTTGTGAATGGTGGAAGATGGGGATTCAGTTTCATCTTTCTGCAGGTGGATACCATTTTTCCAGCACCATTTGTGGAAAAGGTTCTCCTTTTCCCAATGGATTGACTGGTATCCTTTGTTAAAAATCAGTTGGATGAAAGCTTTGGGGTTTATTTCTGAGATCTCTGTTCTGTTCCATTAGTCCACCTGTCTGTTTTTGTGCCAATACCATGGTGTTTTGATTATCATACCCTGATAGTATATTTTGGGGCCAGGAAGTGAGGTGCCATCCACTCCACTCTTCTTGCACAGGATTGCTTTGGCAATATGGGGTCTTTTATAATTCCAGACAAATTCTATGATTGTCTTTTCTAGATCTGTGAAGAATGTCTCTAGTACTTTGATTGGCATTGCATTAAATATGTAGGTCAATTTGGGTAGAATTTTCATTTTGATTATTTTAATTCTTCTAATCCAGGAACATGGGATGTCCTTCCACTTTTTTTGTGTCATTTTCAATTACTTTTTAAAGCTTCTCATAGTTTTCTTTGTGGAGGTCTTCATCCTCTTTGGTTAGACTTATTCCTAGGTATCTTATACTTTTTGTGGCTATGGTAAATGGTATTACTTTCTTCAGCTCTATCTCAGTCTGCCTGCTGTTCATATATAGAAATGCTATAGAGTTTTTGGATGTTGATTTTCTCCCACTTTATTGTATTCATTTATTACTTCAAGATGTGTTTTCATGGAAACCTTTGGGTTTTCTAAGTATACCATCATGTCGTCTGCAAATAAAGATATTTTCAACTCTTCTTTGCCTATTTCAATGCTGTTTATATTATTTTCTTTTCTGATTGCATTGGCTAGGACTTCCAACACTATATTAAAAAGCAGTGGAGAGAGGTTTTTTCATACATGGCTTTGTGTTGATATATGATCCTTCTGTACCAATCTTACTGAGAATCTTAATCATGAAAGGATGTTATATTTTATCAAATGCTTTCTCTGCATCTATTGAAATGTCTATATGGTTTTTATCTT